ATATGTCTGGGATAAGAAAATCCTTAGTATTTAGAATAATTCATACTTTTGCAAACAGTAAATTTATAAAAAAATGACTATATAATAGATATACATGATAACACCGAAGTAGTGACTAACTACAGAATAAAAACGGATACATAAAACAACATAAACCAGCACATAAAAACACAACATAGAAAACTAAAGAATGAGCAACACTTACCTCACCAAAAACTTGGGGTGATCTCAGGTGCTTCGGAAGGGTAAACAGATCCCGCTCCACGTGTTGCTCATGTTAGTACAAACCCGGTAATAAATCTAATTCGGTAGGTCACATTTGGGAAAAGGGGACGGGATTGTAGTTACGACATTAGGAACATATCCGCTATCATCTGTGAAACGGATATTCCGTAACGGTCAATCAACTCGTGATGGCGTCCGTAAAATTTACGAAGGGATGATTTCAACTTCACCACTAGAAACTCTTGGTTTAATAGCTTCCTTGTAAGCATCTACCCTCTACAATTTTGCAGCAATATCAAAATATTTTATCTTTCTACACTTAATACTACCTTCCTTAGTTCAATTGGAAATTCGACTATATCGTCTCATTAAACAGAGCTTTGTCGTTTAAATTTGGGAATCGTAGATACAAATTTCTTGTTTAAGGTCATGAAAAAAATCTTAATATCTGAAGAAACACACCGATTCCAACGATAACCACACCAAATTGTTATAATTAAAACGATGGACGTTTTGATTTAAAAATATTTGTACAGTTGGGTTGATTGATATTTCAGTAGAAAGTCGGTAATCCACTGTGTACTAATTGTGCATCCCACTGGTCGACTTGTTTTTTTGTGCTCACATGAAGCAGAATTCACACAGAATCTTCTCAAAGACAAAAGAAAAAGCAAAGTTCTTTTATATTTGTTTGGTGTTTATGATGTTTATTCAATATACATTCAAAATATATCAACCATTTATATTCGCTTTTAATCACGGGTAGTAACGTCGTCATATCAAAGAGCGTTAAGTACAGTGATTTTGTCATATTTTGGTTCAGTTGGTCATGCTTTGGTACAGTGTTTTTGAATAACAACCAATGACATAGAATGTGTTCCTAAAAGAAGATATGAAGATAATTTTAGCTTGGAAAATATCTTTGCTTATAGCTGTTATATTTGTAAATTATATAAATAATACTATGAAATATAAACGCTTGTGTACGACAAATATTAAAGTTGAGGTAATGTTTTGGTATTGTTTTTCACACAATAAAAAATGTTCTTTTTCTGCGGTTAATATCACATTATTTATTATAATTTAAAATTGCTTTTAAAGATTCCGAATATTAATGAAAATTCAGCATCATGGTTTGGTCCATGTTCGACATGGTTCAGTTCTGTAATCATACATGTATATCGTAAAACTTATAAAATAAAACTAGTCAGATAGATGAACCAATGAACAAACATGATATAATTATTTAAATAATTTATGTCAATAATATTATTGCAAATACTTGTATAAAACGACGACAAGGATAACATATTCAATGATATGGTTTTCACTAGGAAAATGTCAAAGTTTCAAAAAAAATAAATGTTACTAATTTGCATTTCAAAACGGAGTTCTGTTGTCAGTTTTATGAGCTAAAATATGTGGATTTATTTTCAATACTTGGGCACCTTAATCACTTAACAACGGAGACAAATTCCTCTCTATTAAAAAAAGTACTAAAGAAGCCATATAAAAATAAGAAGATGTGGTATGATTGCAAATGATACAACTATCCACCAGATACAAAATGACGTTAATGTTAGCCACTATATGTGGCCGTTTAACCTTTAACAATGACCAAAACCAATATAATATAAATATTATAAAGGCTCCCGACATAAAAAAAATATGAAATAAGTTAATCGAGAAACCCAACCAACTTTAAGACTGGTCACGTATCACATCACTTTCAAATCATTCTTTATATCATAATAACTATAAAAAAGCATTATATGCCAAGGAGATGCTAAATATTTTCAGAAGTGTCCAGAATAGACATTCAACGAATATTTTTATTTCGTAAATGAAGGTTTAAGAAAGCAAAGCTCGTATTGTTGTTAGTTTTAAATGTTTGCATTTGGTTTTCGGATTCAAGCGTTTGTATTTTACCGACAAAAGTAACTGTTTTGGCAAATTGGATTCCCCTGATTCCACAATAAAAAATAAGCTTCATGAAAGGGCTTGGAAACAGAACTTAGATGAACGAATAAAATAGCACCACTAGAGCATTAAATTTTGATCTGGATTATTCAAAACTAAATCTTGCTATTCAAAAGCAAAGCAACTTAATCTTCTTTTTCAACAGTTCTTTCAAAATCAACAACACTTTGAGTTATGAAGAAGTTCGACGATCTTTATACCTTATTATCGACCTAATGCTACAAAGATCATTCATACGGAATTTCGTTAGTAATTGACGACTTTTAACGTTTTTAAATTCTTTACTTGCTTAGTTTTCTAATTTACCTTAATTTCAGTTGTCGACCTTTAAAATAAGATGAACCAATTTACCCTGTATTTTTCATAATTTAAAAGTTGCCCAATGCTACTAGAAATTGAATGTTATAGATATAATATAGTTATTATTTAAATAATTTTAATAATTTATTTAATGATTTTAATTATTTCCATTACTCACAATGCTTTTAGCTTTTGATCGAGGCTTTGTGAGACAAAATTGAAAACGTACATGTAGTTTGCTAAAACAACACAAAAAAATGAAAAAAAGCAAGAATGATTTTAGGGTAATAATACCATTAAACTATTCCGCGTGTTAAGTTTATGTTTTTTTTTTCATTTTTGTGTGTGATTACCGCTTAGCTGATATGATTTTCCCCAATTCCTCTCTCCCCCCTCCCCCCCCCCCCCTAAAAAAAACACAAAAAACGAAACAAAGGAAAAATGACGTAACTGCCATGTGAAATGTCTATGACAACGCCTGCGTACCGCTTACCATGATATTTATCAAAAGTACTTCGTACAGTCGTACATTGGACCATAAGTAATTTTTGTGTACATAAACATGATCCGATATGGCAAATCTTTCTATTTGCATACGGCTTGGTGGTTTAAAAACTCACTTGTTAACATACCATTCCGAGGTCTTGATGTGAATATTTTCCCATGGAATTCCACGATAAAAAGCGTACCGGTCTTAACCGTTTAACTCCTAATTACTCTTATCTATATATCCCTGACATAATTATTAACCAACATTCGGAGATTGATTTAGGCTAAAAGGAAATCTGTTGAATGGCAGCACAATGATTTATGCACAGGGCCCATATAAATCATATTATTTATAGCTATGCTATTTTTGTGATTAACCTATAAGTTTCATGTTGGGTTCACCGATTAAACCCATTTAATTGATTAGAAAGCTTCTTTTTTATTAGCCATTTGGCACATTATGTAATAATGTTGTTTTTTTACGACGCTTTCAGACAAACTTTCATTATTTTCGTTTAACCAATATGTATTAATTTTCATCTAAACCATGACAAATATGATTAAACCATGAAAAAAGTTGAAACACTTAACGGAACCATGTTAATTACTTCATCCTCAATTTTTGATATCATGCTTTACGTGCTTTAATTTTCAACAACCACAGTTTGAACATCTTAAGTTTGACGTAAAACAATAAATAAAAAATCTTTTTTAACTTTTTCTATTCTTATTATTAGAGACCTAAGGTAATCGTTCAAGAAAGTGACCTAAGCAATTCATGATAAACTGGACCAAATCATGACAAAATCACTGCACTAAACGCCCCTCGATATGATGACGTAAGCACCAGTATCAATGGTTACAATGGTCTGTCTATAGTATAATGGTATTTTTTAAGGCTAAAGCTTCATTCGAAAAAAATATTTCTAATTAATTCAAATCTGAACTGATCTGATAATAATATGCATAACTTAAAATAGATGTGATGTAAACGTTAATTAGGTAACAATCAAACGACACAACAAGAAATTAAGGAGTCAACATACATGTACTGTTTTAAGCATTTTTAGTATTTTTTATATACACATTAGTAATATCAACGACAACAGCTGGCTAGTAATTTGTGTTTAAAAATTACAAATGAAACGGTAAATTGGAAGTTGACGTGGAATTTCCTATAAAAACAAAACAAATACCTTGTCATAATAATACAATATATTAATTGTCACTATAAGCTATCTTTGTTCAACCGATTTACCGAAACACTTCTTTTGTGGGATAAATGTCGTAATATCGTGTGCTACCCTGGACGTGTATTGATTAATGGGACGTGCATACCACTTCTGCCATACACTTCTAATCTTGGTTATACACTTACATTTGGAGTTCATATTCAATCTGAAGCTCCAATAAAAAACACACGATACTTACTACAAAAAATTTAAGAAGAAATTCTGATTCAGCTAGGCAGACATTTAAATAGAAAAATGTTTCCCTTTCTAGAAATGATGATTATGAAAGCGAATACCACGTGTTCACAGATGTGAATTTCATAGGACCATATTTACTTGTATCCGTATTTTTGAAATTATTCGTTAATCTTGTTGTTAACAGAGACGAAATTGAAACAAAACTTTTACAGTTCTAAACCATGAGTTTTCATTTAAGTATCAATTTGGTTGTGACTATTGTATCAGAAAGTGCATAGTTAAAAATGACAATGATTCACTTTGTCTTCCGATCGATATGCATATAAAAAGGTTTGATAGTACAAAATGTTATCGGAAGACGACAAACATAATACCTGAATCTCACAAATATGTTCACTCACACATCAGTTTTTTGCTTCAGTGTCCACAGATAGAATTAGATAAAAGAGAGGTCACTTTCGATAAATATAAAACTTACTTAATGTACCAAAATACAGTACTGTTTTGGATTATTACAATTTCTACCTAACCAGATCAGATCATCCACGGATTTGTTTGAAAACATTTAAAGGTATGATGGTATCTTCTTCAGAAATGAGTGTGTTACAAATAATAATTCTCATATTTACAATATTATCGTTAATTTGCTTATTCCTCATTTTTATTACTTATTGCCTTTTTGAGCAGTTACGTACATTACCGGGAAAGAACAACATGTGTCTTGTCATTGCCTTATTTTTTGCTATGGCCTTTCTAGAATTTGGTTTGAACAAAACAAACAATATAACTCTTTGTATTGTACTGGGTGGATTTATTCATTATTTCTGGTTATGTACATTATTTTGTTTAAATGTTTGTTCCTTTCACATGTATTGCACATTTAGCAGGACATTTGTTTATCGGAGTAGAAGAAAATCAAAAGAGCGAAAACGTCTCTTGCTATACATTCTATACTCATTTGTTGTACCGGCCATAATCATTTTTATAATTATACTTTTTACAAATTTTCTCCAAGGTAAAGAATTGTATGGGTATGGCGGGAAAATGTGTTTTATTTCAGAAAGGTTATCTTTCATTATAGCATTTATTGTTCAGATCATGATCATGTGTCTGTTAAACATCGTTTTCTTTATATATTCATCACATTCGATTGCAACGACTCCAAAATTAAAAAATGATGATTCCTATCAGCAAAATTCAGTAAATCTAGCTGTTTACTTCAAATTATTCACAATAACAGGCAGTTCTTGGGTTATACAAATAGTAGATTCGTTTCTTCCTCTGTCATTCTTTTCCATAATTGTGTCTCTGTTAAATGCTTTGCAGGGGGTCTATATTTTCGTTGCATACATATTCAACAAACGTGTTTTTATTCTTTATCGTAGTTTAATTTGTTATAAACCTGTTGTCAAGTTTGGTTCTGAATCACGCAATGTCACTAAAAATTAAACTTTGACATCAACAAAACTATGAACTAAACAGACAGATGTTACTTCAAACAAAGATTTGCATCATAGAATAAAGTTACATTGAAACGATTACTTTTTTGAAAATAACGTTCAGGTAAGATGCTCTATGCAATTTTTTTTTATTTGGCGAAGACACTGTGCCTCATCTGTATTAACATTACTGATTCCTAGCCTAATCTATACAATGTACTGGAATTTGATAACGTCGAATGTTTTATGATACCTAGATATTAATGTTTACTCAAATCACATTGTGTCGAAGCAAAAACCAAATGTATCCTTGGAATTTCTGCTTTAACAGTATGCACTTTTCTAAAATGCTTATACAAGTAAACGCGCCTGAGCTTCAATAATCGAAAAAAAAAACAACCTATGAATCATAATTTGAAAAGCTGTTGTTTTGAACTTTTTACTGGTTTAGTACATTAACCGTAAGAATTTCGTCGTTTTCCTTTAATTTTGGTTAACGTAAACTCCGTTAGGAAATAATCTTGTAACATATATATGGTTAACAAAAGTTGGTGGGATTTAAAATCATCCTAATAGCAAGGAAAAGCAGTGGGTCACTACTGGGAAATGTATGTGTGATATGTTATAGCTACTATAACCAGTTATCGTCAGTATTGAATCGTTCAACAAAATTCTAGCTATTTCCACTTTATCTGACATTAATTGATAGTGTGTATCAAGAAGAGCAGACGGTCTGTAGAATAAGCTAACTACATCGTCATTCGGTCTATAAATTTGGAAGCTGTTTTCCATTTATGAATATGAACTTATCATAAATTTATGTGACTTGAAATAATATTTTTACGGTATATTAGTCAGATAATGAATATTCATATGTTTTTCATTTAAATGACACACCTTGTAGTGTAAAGATTACATAAAGAAAGACACACCTACGGTCGTTCTTTCATTGGATCAATCTTGACATCCCGCGATGTGTTATACATGTTATAAGACAAGAAAAATCTTAAAATATCCATCATCTAAAACATAAACTACATTTAAAGTGTAATTATTGTTTAACCCCTCTACTACCTTGAATTATAATGTATAACACTGTGTTGTGTATGCTATGATGTCATTGTGTAAATAAAAAAAAATACTTCAAATAGATTTTTTATAACTGCCTACATCATACACGAAATCGTCGTTTAATAAACATTAAATGTATGTGTTTGATAGCCTATATGTGAATGAAGTATTTGAAATTAAAATTAAAGTACAGATTTAATGCACTGGATCAACAAAGAACACTAGTTCATTTCAGATTATCATGAAGAGAAGCGGAAGATACCAAAGGGACATTCAAACTCATTAGTCGAAAATTAACTGACAACGTCATGGAAACAAAACAAAAAAGACCAAAAAAGAGAAACAACAGTACACAAATCACAACATAGAAAGCTAACTAATGAACAACACGAACACAACCAAAAACTGAGGGTGATATCAGTGGTTTATGGTTACATCCTGCTTTGCCCACTTTTATTTACCCCAATTATCAAATGGTTATATAAACAAAAAAGACAAAAGGTTTACTGATAGGAAAATTGTATAGTCTGTTCCAGTTATGTTGCTATTTTATTTTATTTTAAGTACATGTATCACTGTAAGATTCTATAGGATAAGTTTGTATGCAATTGGTGCATATTAAAATGTATTTTTTTTCTTCATATATTTGGTTGTGTAATTTTCATTGAATTGATTCTTTGAAGGAGATAAATGAAAATAAATAATGAATTGATTTTAATATCTATTTTTAATAGCACTAAAACAATTAACATTGTCAATATCACGTATTAGAGAATTTATAAAAAGTAGTGAATTCGTAATCGATAATCAACGAGCGACTTTAGTCGCAAATTGATTATCGTTTCCGAATCCACTACTTCTTATAAACTCTCTAGTTTAACCCATTTCTAGTAAAACGACTGTCTGTTTTACGTTTTGACAATAAATCAACGGAATTTCATAAAGATAACTTCGTATTTTGTCTTTTTTATTCTACAATAGTTGGAAATGATTATATCCACTCGGTTCACATCTATATTTAGACATTCGACAAGTTAACATAAGTTTAACATAACAAAATTTAGATGAGAGGCGAAAGATACCAGAAGGACATTCAAATTCATAAGTCGAAAATAAACTGACAACGGTATGACAACCTTTGAAATTTATATATATAGTATTTTGCAAAATCTATTAAATTATCTGAGTGAGGGCCGTCTACCAATTAGCCGTACTAATCTAAATCTATAAGGTAAGTGGAACTGCCACAAACCTACCATTTCATGTTGCTCCATTTCGTGTTGCTTTCCAACATGTAGAAAATAATGTGCTAAAGGTTTTATTTGAACAATTTTACATACATTTTGTTTAAACTGTTTCCGTTTCATTAAGTTTAGATTTTATTAGCGTTATTACATTTGGCATCCATCGTCAGTCAGTCAATAAATTTTTCTCTAATTTTAAATATTTATTTTATTATAACCTAAAAAATGTGTTATCATAAATTAAGATAAAGATGAATAGATAGAAACCTGATTACAATTTTTTTTTATTAGTTTATAAACATATTTTTTTTATTTTTATCTCATTTAAAATTTTTATGACATTTAACTATTTTATAATTATATTTATAGTTTTTATTATAATGGTTTTTAGTTAATACAGTTAATGTACTTTTTAAATCTCAATATTGAATCAATTTTCAATCAAAAATATGTATTCTTTGTAAGATTTTACAGGTAAATTACAGGTAAATAATATGTCTAAATTCAAGAAACATACTTTAATTGTTAAAACAACAATTTTCCCTATATTTATATATGCATGTAATTAAAAATGGGCAAACCAGGATGACACCGATATCAGGTGCTCCGGAAGGGTAAGCAGATCCTGTTCGACATGTGGCACCTGTCGTGTTGCTCATGATCGATACCAAAGGGATATTCAAACTCATAAGTCGAAAACTTACTGACAACGTCATGGCAAAAAAAAAAAAAAAAACCAAACAAATCGCAACATAGAAACATAAAGTATGAGCAAAACGAACCCAACCAAAAACTTCGGGTGATATCAGGTGCTTCGGATTGTAGTTTTACGACAATTGGAACATATCCGTTGTCATCTGTAAAAAAGATATTCCATAACGGTCAACCAACTCGTGATGGCGTCAGTAAAATTTACGAAGTAATGATTTCAGCTTCACCACTTATAACTCTTGGTTTGATAGCTTCCTTGTTAGCAGCAACCCACTATCAAGGAAATCATGATAGGAAGTACAAGCGCTGGAATATCGTATCAACTGGGAGATGTATACGCCTTTGTTAGTCAAGTATGTTTTTTTAATTTTGGTTCATTTATATGTTTCGGAGTTTAGTGTGACTTCCATTTTCGTTGAACTAGTATACATTTTTAAACAGCCAGCTGAAGCCCGCCTCCGGGGCGGGATTTTCTTGCTGTGTTGAAGGCCCATTGGTGGCCTTCGACTGTTTTCTGCTCTTTAGTCGGGTTGTTGTCTCTTTGACACATTCCCCGTTTCCATTCTCAATTTTATCCATATGCAGGCGCTGCTAAAATCTTGCTACATAGAAATGGACAGTTCGCAATTGGGAATCTGAGATCATCTCTTGTGTTGTGAAATTTGTTTTTAACCGACACTCATCGTCAATTTCTAGATGTAAGTCAAGATATGAGATATACTTAACTGTATCTGTTGTATCTTCTATCTCATGTTTGATGGGATGGATGCGTTCAACATAGTCACCAAACTTTGAATTGTTTAGTGAGAGGACATCATCTATCTAGCGGAAAATGAAGTTAAAGGATAATGCTACCTTCATTTCTTTCTTCTTAAGAAGCTCCTGTATGAAGTCAGCCTCGTATGAATTGTCAAATTAACAACTAGGATTAGTATTATAGTAAAGTAGAATCGGATAGATGTCAGAATGTTTGTACAGCAAAGGTAACAAATGCCGACTTGAACACTTAAAGTAGTTAAGTATTGTTGACAAAATCATTACCCAAAACAAAAAAGAAATGTAGTTAATAGTTCAATCAAGTTAAAAAAAAAAACGACGAACGTTTCATTAAAATCAATTTTCGTTTTAATAAGTGATGACTTATAGCTATTAATGTTACAGGATATCAACGCATACCTGGTTTTCAAATGTTTAGGTTTGAGAGTTTCTAATGAAGGTGAATCCAGAGAGGCCCTTCGGACGCCCAAAAATTGTAAATTATTCATTTCATTTAGTGGCACTGGTCGATACTATAGATGGTGAACTGTTAGTCCCCGAGAGTATCATTTTTCACCTCAGTAGTCAGTGCTTCGGTACTAACATGATCTATAACAAATACTATAAAATTCCTTGTTCACCAATTTCAATGTACATGATATTATGTACTCTGGACTTACCATCAGCAAGCTTTATCACAAGCAAAATTTTGAGAATTAAAACATATACATAAAACTTGTTGGAGCATTTAAAGTTAAAAAGGCTTCATAACATGAACAGCTCATCTAGTATAAGTTCAAAATGCCTTATCGAGTGATGATGTAGCCGTACATTTAGGTGGTAACATGGATAGCAATGACGCATCATGACTCAAGCCACGGCTAGACACGAACAGATAATACCCCAAAACTTTACAAATGACAAAATGTATGTCAAGTTTAATTTGGAGGATTCATCATTATAAGTCATGTACACGTATAATATCGTTTCAGTAAGGAAAACAGTTCAGGAGTTTAATCATTCGCATTCACCGATAATGCAGACCAATTAAATAAGCATAGTTATTTGGATCAAACACAATGATAAAATTACAATGAATTAGTAAGATAGCACTGATCTTAAGTTTAATAATTAACTGAATATGGATTACTTTTCATAGGTAACAAATCAACTTTATAATTTTTGTTTCAATGCTAACATTTTTTAACAACCGAATTCTGCTGTAATT